TCAGAGTTTGATCTGCAATACATTTCAAGGGAACCATTAAGGCAACCAATAAACAGGGACATAAATGACCGTGCTAAGCCTTAACGAGGTCCTCAACTGAGTCGTAGATAGAGCTGGAACATGGCCAATGCAGTTACGCTGTGTTTAGTTCGATGTCGATATTATCGCGTTTTCGGATTTGTATTGTGTCATTATCTTTGAAAAAATCCATTTCCTTACGATCTAATTGGTAAACTTATGCCAACTGACAAATAATTTCTTTAATTCCCTTTGGTTTAGTTCTCGTCACTGTTAAGTATACTAGATCAATGAGTAAAATCATATTATTTTTAATGACGCTTATCGATTAACAATGCCAATCATTGTCAGTACCGTCAATGAAGAAGTTAACGAGACGGATCAGATGCAGTTATTTGAAAACGCGTTAAATGGCTGTATCGACATTATCGCACTGTATAGTGATGCTATATAATTGCAGGTAACTTCCATTGTTGGTAATAGCAAACCTTCGTCAACAACTTAAATGTGAGCCTAACTATCGTGACTACAACTTTAAAATCATTATGGATGCTGTGGAAACACATGTCAAAAATAGTCATCAGAAGATGACAAACTCGGCCCCCACAGGAATGAAAAACAAATCATCTGACAGTTACTTAAGATCCAAATCTTTTCCAGTATGGTAAATCCATGACAAATGTAAATGCCCCAAATCCGCAATAGCAAGAGGCACCACTTTGGGATTCGCTTTGATATATCTGCCAGTTCTGTTGGTAGATAATATTGAGCGGTTTATGTTATGCCCCCGAAACAAAACCCACCCCTTTGAGACTAAGTAAAAATCGTTTCCATGGAAATCGAAAATGAAAATGCCAAAATCTGTAAATAGCAAAAGGCACAACTTTAGGTTCTGTTTAATATATTTACCAATTTTGTTGAAACATATTGAACAGTTTTGAGTTATGCTCCGGAAATGAAATGATTACGTAGGGACGGACAGACGGACGAGGCGTAGACCATATCCCCTTCCCCGCCACAAGAGAAGATGAACCCGTAGAATGTCTTTTCAGAGTGGGTTAAGTCTGTGCGATGTTGTTATTGGCAGAATGCATAACCGAAAAGAGGAAACAGAATTGGAATAAACCCGTTCTGTCCCAGTCTGGCTGCCCTGCATGAGGTTGTAGTTATTCTCACTGACAAGGCCTCAAATAACATATCCATTATATATAAACATCATTGCATAAATTGTTTGATTAAAGAGCTTGCTATACGTGACATATCAAATAATGACACATATAAGGCCAGTATGTTTTTGCTAGTCTGATATAAGGCAAGGTAAACTGGTGTATAACGCCGCGTTCATGGATATTAAACTTGTACTAGTCAGCCAAAAATGCCGGCTGTATAATGCTAGCCTACTGGTTGATTGATTGGTTGGTTTGTTGTTGAACTCCGCACTCAGCAATATTCCGTTTACATGGCGGCGGTCTGTAACAATCATGTCTGACCAGACAAAATCCAGCGACCAACATCATGAGCATCAATCTACGCAATTGGGATACGATGACATGTCTCATTCATACCATTTTGTGGAATTTGGGGCAAAACATTTCTATCCAAGATATAGGGCGGTCCCATGGGCACCGATTGTGCTTTCCATCCTTGCGATCTGTTTCATTCATATGAATCACAATTTCTGCTTGAGCTGGCAAAGTCCAAAACAAGGTCATTTGGCCAAGACGTGTAACTTAACCTATACGAGGTGTTCCGGGAAAGAGACGATAGTTACTACCGAGGCCAGCTCAAACACATGCATATGCAGGTCAGTGTTTTCCCGAAAATACCCCGCCTTAATTACGACAACAGCTAACCTCCCATGGATCCTGTTCGTGAACTACAAGACTGACCAGGAGGATTGTCAAACAAGACCATCAGCACCATGCTCATGTGGCATACCGTTTCTTATAAGCTGCTACACTGGTCAAGTGAAATTACTTGTCTTGATAAAGTCCGCTATAGAAGATCCATAGCAAACTTTGATGAGGGTAAGAGACGTTTCATAATGGGTCAGGGTCAGTGTGTACATTGCATTTAAGACATCTGGGCGGCTCCTTTCACAACGCTCATAATTTTTCAGCATCTGTACCTCCTATGTTACAGCATATAGAAGGTACGAATGCTACGAGGAAAGTTAAGAGATTCATGATTTGAAACAAATATTTTCATTTCCATTAATGTTTACATTTTTCATAATACAACATAACAAAATGGAAATAGGATTAGAAACAGGCCATATGGCCTATGTCAATGCTTCTCCGCATATATTCGTTATATCTTGACATAATCTCTACGGAGCAGACATTAGGACATTAATCAAAACAAAAATACAAACAAAGAAAATAAAATAAAGAAGAAGATACCAAGTGCATTTTATGTTTGTAGGTTGTTACTTTGGAATCTGCAACCGGTTAGTTTCAGTTATATAATTCTGAACCGATTTTATAAGGTTTTCATTGTCGGAAGATGAACGTCAATAAGCCGAAGTACAGTATATACACTTAGGTGGTACATGACAAAGTATTTGTCAGTCTAAACTGCATAGCGGGGACATGACTGAAAAAATGGATAGCATCTTCTGTTATGGCCATGAACAAGTGGGATCATCAATCAGGAATCTGTCAAATAAGTGTGCTTTTAAATTATTATTATTATTATTATAGGATATTTATATAGCGGGCACATATCCACGCACTAGTGCATGCTCAAGGCGCTGGTATTATTTCACAACCCAGCCTAATTCTGATAGGACCACTTGGTATTGTCGCTGGCCATAACTAGCCATGTGCGTAAAATTTGAAGAAATCTTAGAATGTCTGTGGAATCAATTGTTTAAAACCGAGAGTTAGGGAATCTACATTTCTAATATTGATATCGAAGTGCATTCTGTTTTAACAACAGAAGGCAGGAAAGACTCGGTTATACTGGGATAAGCCGCCTGTATTTGTCTGAACGTCGTTGGAGTTACGAAGGTTGTATCCTGTTATGCTGGAGATAATTAGGTGGGACCCATAAAGATAGGTATTAGGAGTCAGCCCATTGACCATTTTGCTAATATATACATAATTTATGGTAATGTCAATCTTGTCAGACAGTGAGCAATAACCCGTTTGCCTATAGCTTTTCAGACTGGTTTCCTCGTGCTGCTCCACATATTGTTCGAAGAGCATCCAAGTGTAGGTTTTCTAGCATTTTTACTTTGTTCTTTGTTACAATTATCCCAAATGATATCGCAGTAGTCAAATATGGGAAAGATAAAAGATTTGTACATAATTTCAAGCGTTCTTCGATTTAACCTGTATTTTAGACCACGCAAGCAATTTATTAGTGCACTCAATTTACGGACAAGATAATCAATATGTTTGTGCAATTTTCGATCTTCCTGAAAAACCAGCCCTAGGTGTTTATGATCACTTACTTCAGGTATAAGAACATCATTCATTCGAAGAGGTAATTTAGGACTAGAATTAATTTTAGTCGAAAATAGCATGGCTTCAAGTTTTCAGGTGGACTAAATTTCACTTGCCATTTATCCAGCCCAGTCTGTTTTACGTCTCTAAGTCACTGTTCAGTATAGCGGTTGAGAATTCAGGGTCTTCAATAATTACATATATGTAGCGCATCATCAGCAAAGTTTAATATTACTCGTTATCCGTGAGTCAAGTTATTCATATGAACGAGAAATAACAGAGGTCCCTAAAACTGAGCCCCTCAGGAACTCCAGCTAGAACAGGTTTATAATTTGGACATGTAGCCATTAATTACTACAGCTTGTTTCCCTATTACTAAAGGTAGCCCCAAACCAATCCAAAAAGATTACCGCTTATCCCTGTTGACTTTAATTTTACTAAGTAAACCCTAGTGCCAAACGCGATCAAATGCTTTGCTAATATCACAGAATATTGCACGAACTTCCTCACCATCATCCAAGGCTTTGGAAATTACATGGTATAATTCCGTTAACTGATAAACAGTTGAATTTCCAGGTTTGAATCCCGATTGTGAGGTGGTTATAATATCATTATCCAAGTAAAAAAATAAAAAATGCTTAAATACACATTTTTCAAATACCTTAGAAAGAGAACATGTCAAGGCAACTGGTCTATAATAATTGCAATCAGGAACGCTACCCTTTGGCAGATTGGAACAACAACACATTGACAAGGAAAACAAAAAGTTGTAGGGATAAATTGAACAACGTAGTAATGGGGTTAACACAGAGATACAGCTAATTTTTTTTAAAAAAGCATGTTACCAATATTATCTGGACCTTTAGCTTTGGTAGTATTTAAGTTTAATAAAATGTCATGCACTTCTTTTTCGGACAAGAGCAACTCATTAAGTTTATTTGCAGCCTCATGTAAACTGCAAGTTTCCCTCTCAGGTTCTTCAACTTGGGCTTGTTGAGTAAAGTAATCATTAAATGCATCAGCAATATCACTGGGGTGATCAAGAACCTTTCCATTAGTCAAGATAGGAGGAGACTGTGTATTTGAATTCGTATTGTTCTGTATATAGGTTTTCACTAAGCGCCACCATGATTTCGAGCCACATTCAGACTTAATACTATCATATAATTTCATATCATACGAGCGTTTAGCTTTCCTAACTTCAGAGTTGACTTTGTTTCGTGCTACTCTGAAGCGCTTCCAATCTACCGGTAAATTTATTCTTATTCTTACGAGAGCTTTGTGAATTGGGGCCCAGGGAACGATGACGTACAATCAGCCATGGAGATGAGTTTCACAAGCCGATCCATGTAGGCGATTTACAACAGATGTTGCTTGGGAACAAACAAGGGTCTTCGCGAGTGACAATAATGTCTGTTGGTACTGATGCTATGGGCCTCGTCACCAGGGTAACAAATACACCCTTTACATCTGTACTTGTTGGCATCATATTCACAGAGCGAAACGGTTCCCGCTCACAAAGAAGTGTGTTGCATTGTACAAGACCAAAACACTGATATCGCAATACATTGAATGCATCATGAAAAAAGAAAGATCCTCACGCATGAATCAGTCTTACTGTTGATTCTACAGGTTAATGTTTTCTATACAAACAGCAAGGGATCCATTTACTACTTCCAACGAAATTGATTTCATCAGATAAATTAACACGTCATGAACTGTAAATCTCTACAGATGCAAACACATCTTCGCAAACTGCATGTGCTGAATCCGGTGGAACACAGGAAGGAGGATGGTCTTCGTCATCTGGGACGACTCACAACAGACGCAGACATGACGTCCTTCACAAGTCTGATGTATATCAACGTGTTGTTTCTTCTTGTTGAATACTTGAAGGTAACAGGTAAGCATACACCATGTTTTTCGCTCAAGTTCAAAAGTGTAACGCTAATCAGAAATACATTGGTTTTTACAGCGACAACGTGATCTATGTATCAACATCTAATTTGAAATGTTTTGTTGTTGTTGATAGAGGTACTATATCTGGCTACTTACATCCTGACCAGATATGTTCATGATTCGGATACGATGGCAAACATCATCCAAGTTTGCCAATCAAATAAGCTCAGATAATGAAATTATGTATACGATAACTGAGGCACTAAACAAATTATTAACAGTACATTTTACATCATAAACCAAAGGTAAATAATCAGGTATCTCTTTGATGTATTGGAATGGGAATTGGTCATCATTACGAAAAATTACCCAGCTCTCCTAAAACTAGATATACAAATTTGTACTGTGGTAAAACAAAGTGCATGGATGACGCTGTCATCAACATTCTAATTGAAAAGAAATCCGCAAAACGTTTTGGTTAATCAAAAGACTGAGATCTTGACCCCCGCACAAATCGCTCTATGTCACAAGCAAGTTAATCTGAGCACACGTGTGAACATTTAGAACTAACTTATACAGGGAATACGAACAGTACCAGTTTATCCCTGACAAGTCAAAGTTACAAATAACCTTAACATATCTGCCATATGGCTTTTGAAAGTTTTACTGAGGCCATGGCAACTGTGAACCAGGTCAACCAACGTTTGATTCAGACTTTCCTTTCGATAGCTATTGGTCCCTGTACATCTAAATATGAAACAGAAAATGCGGTTCCATTGGTCCCTTGTATTGCTAGCTCGGGTTGTTATGAGGGAGTCGAAAATATTTAAACAATGTCAGATCATACCAAATGTTCAAGTTTATCTTGGCCGAATTCCATCGATTTGCCAATCCGTTTTGAGTACCCATGCTGCCCAGATGCCAACTACTATGGTTATTTGGTTTGTTGTTTAACGCCCCACTCTCAACAATACCGCACCTATGCCGCGGCGGTCTGTAAATAATCGAGAGTCTGAACCTAACAAGCTAGTGTGATCAACACCACAGCATCGACCCACGCAACTGGGATACGATGGCATTTGTCAACGAAGTCAGTAAGCCTGACCAATTCGACACCTTTAGTGGCCTTTTACGACAAGCATTGGGTCAATTCTAACCCGGATGTTCATAGGTATGCCACATACCAACATATGCCTAAAATAGTTTTGCTGGAGGACGTCCATCATTTTGCATATTGATTGATACGATGACATTTGATTCCATTCTTAACATATTGTTCAGACTTTTTTAAAAAGGAGATGTAACAATATGTAATGTCTGCATAGATTCGTCGTGGATCGAAAACTGATTGCCTAAGTTTGTCATGCTGGATACAATGGATAGTGGTGTACAGAGTTGAAAATCAACTGTTTCCGAAATGACTGAAACTGAGTCTCGTATCAGAGTAAAACAAATGTTCAGAAAAACAATATTTGGAGATTCTAAGAATTCAGGTGGTACGGATTCCACTCGCTAAATTGTTTTCTGTGAATGTACTCTTTAAAGCCATGAGAAATCTTGGTTATTGTTTGATATCGCGATGGAGTTTCTTGGCACTCGCGATTATATCTCCCATGGGATGGATTCCATCTATGGACTTTTTTGATACCGTACAGTCAGGGAATGGACATGTCTTTAGGTTATAGAGTTGAGATTTCCTCCTCCATTATATGTCATCTGCATCATGTCCCGTTACATCTTTCAAAATGTCCATGAGAATTCCGCCCTCTGCCACCTTCCCCGCAAGGCTGTCACTGCTATGTTCGCACACGTTGAAAACAGCTTGGCCACAATCCAGTCCCAAATGATGAGAACAATGTTCCAAGGATTCCCAAGTTAGTCGCATGTATACAAAGCAGCATTGTCACTCTCTCGTCGCATGCCGGGGTGGAGGCACGTACGTGAAATCATGATCGACACTCGCTGGTCATAAAAATCAACAGTCTTTGATGAGTTACAGGTCGTAGGTCGATCAGAAAAGGATCTTTTCTTCGATTCTGAAGGGTTCAGATTCGACAGTCAGTCAAGTATTTTCCACTATCACTTCAAATTTCAACCTTTCGCAAAATGTAAACTGGCTCGTCCGCCATTTCAAACTGTTGCGTAACTATCTACTTCCAAGAAAATAAGTAGGTCAGACGATTCAATTATAGTGTGGCCAGGGGCTACAGTAACACGGCACAGAAAACAATAGGCTGGTTTCGGTCGTGTGGAGTTATGATTATAAAAACCAAGCAATGTAACATCATTGCATTGATTAAACAGTAGTTTGTTTTCTTTGGACAGATAATTTTTTCATGTTGCAATTTTGAAAAAACCGGTACCTACGAACGGCACCTACCACTCACTTCACGGACGAGTTCAAGTCGCCTCTCGTCACATGCCGGATTACACAGTGTCTTCTGCAGGACGAGGAAGTTTGCTTTTAAATCGGTTATGGTTCGGCTTCAAATGAAATTTAGAGACTATCAATTCGGTCTACATCCTTAAAGGTCACATGCAACGTAAAACACAACTTTGCAGATTCTTATACCTTTCGGTATGGACGTCAAAAATGCAAATTCAACTTATAAAGTTGAAAAATAACGAGATGAAAAAAAGTCCGCGAAATTGGAGTTCAAACGTTTCACTAATTTTCCCCCGACTTTTCGGGGGAAAACTGGTTTCAACAGCTGGGCTGCGCTCATAGCACGTGCGCAGTGAAATAGGTTCGCGCAGCTTGGAAGCGGGTTGTCCGGTGAATACTCGGTGAAGGCTTTGGGGTGAGCTATTTTTCTAATGTTTTGTTGATATCTCACAGGCGCGAGCTTTTTATATGTTATTACAGTAAATTAACTGTTTATATAATTTCATTTGTCTATTTCACCACACGTTCTTCTTACCGAGTCACTTTCTCAGTTCGATACTTAAAAGCAATGTCATTATTTAGCGTTGACAGAATTTCTAACTGTAATATAGATATGTCGTTGTCAAAACTCAATGTCTTGTTTTATTGACACCTGTGTGTCTGCCTGCCTGTCTGCTAATGACAATATTCAATACACAGCTGCTTTCACTGACCACATGCAATTTGAACTTAACACCAATCAGGCTATACACCATAAACAAAATGCATTGATTTATGGGCCGAGTTCGGTCTCTGTCACATTATGTAATTACACAGACAGGCAGGGGTGATACTTGAACACTTGACATGTTATGATGTCTGTTGATTGTAAAATGTTATAAACAAAAAATGAGCATGTATTTACAAAACCCAACATCTCTATATATACACGCACAATGAGCCGTGAGGGAATCTGCAAATGAACAAGCCGTTACACTTAAGTGCACACCCACCCGCTCTGACTGGGTTCGGTATCCCGGCTGCTTCGTTTCTTGGGAAGTAAACCCAAGTACACAATATTGCACTTTTGTTTTGTGATTGTACGCTTATAATTTTGTTTATATGTTTTTTTTTCATAACCAGTAATGTATATTATATGTCATGAATAAGTGATAATTGTGTCTTGATTATGTTTGATTTTTTGGTTGCATGTGACCTTTAAGCTTCAAAAACACGTTCTGCAACTAGCTCGTATGAAATCGTGTTCATATAAGAAAATATAACTGTTTGTCGTGGACAAAAATTCTGGGAATGTTAATTTGTTATATGTTTTGTGTCGCAAATTTCAGGTTAATTGGAGATTTTTGTCTGATCACGAAATAGACCATAGATCTGAAAGGGAAATTATGTACTGCAAAAAGTTGCGCTGGTTTCCATGGTCCAGTGGTCGTAAATTCGGGTAAGAGATTTGCCATGTTTATGATCCGTGTTTGACCGGCATCAAGTCATCCATGGAATATTTCAATGAAAGCACAGTTCGGCGGAAGGATGCTGAATCGCAATGTCGGATTATAAGACCCATTTAATTGGGAAATTGCAAAAAGAATGAATGAATGAATGAATGAATGTCACAAAACAATGTCCATAAGATCTCCAAAGAAACAAATGCTTATAACTTGAAATAGCTCTCCTTGCAGTTTCATTGCGTCTGTGTATAGTGTCATGAAGGGTCTGTCAACGACATCTGTCAATGACTAGACACACAACCGTTCTACATCGTAACGTGCTGGCAATTTTTTAATATTTTCTTTGACATCGCCAAAACATCTTTCTGCCTCAGGTAGCAATATAGTGCTCTTCATTTCCCGTTTTAGAATTGTGAGGCATCTGATTGCAGGGAATTCAATCCGATCCAGCATCCAGCATCAGACCTTACATGGACAGTCTTTAAAGGCTTTCAGAAAAACGTGGGTGCATGAACTTTTTGGGATTAAGCATTAGAGTTGCAATCCGTTTCATTTTTTCACTCCTTATTTCAGTGTAACAAGCGAATCGCAACACTTTAAAAGTGACTAACTTGATCACAATTCAATGATATCCAAACTAGTAACAAAATCATACAAACTTTGTTTAATAACAGAAAATAAAACAAAATAAAAAAGGTATTATATTGTCGTTATTTTTGTGTGGAGCTTTTAACATCTTCCTCACTATTATTAGTAAGCTTTCCCACCATTAGTGTTATAGATAATCACTATTGAACTGATAATTCAGTCAAAAAAGGTATTGTAATGTAATCGCACGTTTAGGTTTAATTGCATTGTGCTTTGTAAAGGTAAACATGGACTATAACTTTGGCTTCTTATCACTGTGTTTGTACACTGAACTATTTATTTTGATGGAATTATTGAGATGGGGTTGAGCATGACGAAACAGTTTCGATTCTGAATGAAGTTTCAATTTGAAAGTTTTCATGGTAATTATGTTACCAGCTCAATTTGTATTGTATTTGTGTTTTCAATATATAGAGTATACTTGAGATTATAGAACACACATGAACCTATAGCCTGGGTGACTGAAATATAATCACCAAAGCAAGGTACACACGTTTTGCGATCCAAACTCATTTTGATAACGAAATCCTGTTTAGTGTATCCGTAATAGTTTCATCCAATGTTATGGAGACGCCTGTGACATTCATTATGGTCAAGGACGCATCTTTGAAACAGGTTATGAATTTAGATTATGCATAATATGCTGCTTATGGTCTGTTCACGATTTTAATGCCAATGGGCATTTTGAAATTTGGAATATAGTAATCGTGATTGGGTGTGGTTGAACGCCGCCTTTAGCCCATATTACAGCAATATCAATGTGGGGAATCGAGCCCGGGTCTTCAGAGAGGCGAGCGAACGCTTTAACCACCAGGCTACACCACCGCCTCCATTTTGGGAAATATTCATTCATTTCTCAAGTAATGTGGTTATATATGCATGAATTCTCCGAAGCCATTGTGTAATTTGTCTATTCGATCTTCAACCACAGACATTGAAGCGAAGTGTTGCTATGTACGTAATGCAAAATGCCTTTTATTTTTGACAGCACCCGTTCAGACAAACATAGCTCTAGGTAAACCTGCCTATCAATCCAGCGTGGCCCACAATGGTCACCCATTCTATGCCGTTGATGGTGTAACGGGAGGACATTTCGGTAGAGATCGCTGTATGCATACACCTTATGGCAAGTCCTGGTGGATGGTCGACCTTCTCAATATCTACAACATATCTACAATCACTATTTTCAAAAGAACAGATTCTTGGTCAGGTATGTTCTGCATATTTGAATACATTGCAGTTGTACAACCCTTGCATTTGTAGAATTTAGTGTTGAAACATAAATGTAAACACAATCAACAAAACCATTATAAAATCATAAGAAATACCTGCCTACCATATCATAAGCATGTGTGAGTGATTTACTATTAATTAATGATAGGGTGTTCTTGAGATATGTGTACTCTGCCCTGTCACAATCACGCGCAAATTGTTCATCTGAAAATCTCGACCTTTTATGTCTTGAGTTCCCGACATTGGGGTCGGTTCATTATTGGAAAGTTAAAGAGTCTTACGGGGCAGTTGAGGCTGATTCTGGTAAGTGAATCAGTGGTATTGACTATTTGACTATTATTGAACCATATTGGATCACTGAATGTTATTGAGCAAATATATTTCACAACTAAATGTATTCCGAGTCTGCTCAGGGGCCCTTATTGTGTGCAAATGAGACTATGTTAACACAATTCAAAAGGAATTTCTACATTATTGCAAGTGAAGCATGCATTCTAGAGAATTCGAACACTCCGATATCATGGTGTTCTAGGTGGAATAGATCTTCTGAAGATAGAGGGCTTTCTCGGGCATCCTACCCTCTGTCCCGCATCCTCCCCGAAAGTCTGTGTCAACCAGATGGGCAGTTTCACAGGAACATCCAAGACTGTTGCTTGTGAACAGGAGGTTATGGCCAGATATGTGAATGTTTCTGCCGATGGCACGATGATGATGTGCGAGGTTCAAGTGTTTGGAGAAGGTAAGGTCTTATTTCAGACATTTACACTATGCGTGAACGCCTCTTGGGGGAACTGGTGTATGTTAAGATTGACTAGGTATTCAAATCAAGACAAATTGGTTCAAAGTAATTTTACGATGGCGGAGCACAATGGAGAAGCCAAACAAACGTCAATTATTACCATGCAAATATGACATGGTGGTACGTGCTGGTGATTGTAATGATACCATTAATAATAATATTCATCTAGCTTCAATGGTGGTCAAGCCACGTAAACAGACCTGGGCCCCACTTCAAAAGCTCGATAGACCAATGCCGTTCCAGACGCTTTAACATTACACTTGACTACAAGTCTATGGATAGTTATTAAAGCAACTAGTGACACCTTCTATTGAATCTTAACAGACATAATGCAACACAACCTCAAAACTGGTCCACAATGAATAACAGGTCCAAAATAACTGTCTACATATATCTTGATCAGTTCAACTGCTACCAGCAACCTCCACCTCCTCTACCTTGTGCAATGCTGACAATTTCCGCCTGAATTCCCGTCTTTGATTTGACAAGAATTGGTGCACAGATTTTATTCAACATATAAGTCATATGAATACATGCCTGTGTTAGAATTCCCAACAGGGGCCATAATCCCTGTGCCTGGGCTGATGCCATACCTGTGGATCCTTGCTCATGTTGACATTCATTTGTTTGTATCGTTCCACAGGCTGAATAAACATCCTGCACTAATTCATTCCAACTTATTTACAGGCATTTGCTATAAAAATGTACAAATCCAAAAAGGTCGGAAGCAGGATAGTCCTTCAACCATGCAAAGCAGTTTGGCTTCGAGTCGCATGGAGTGCAGCAACATCTGTTACAGACACAGCTGTACATTCTTCAACTACAACAGAGTGACTGGGGAATGCCAAACAGAAAGTGGCCTGGCAACTTCCGCTTCATCCTACGCTGCTGACTGGGACTTGGGCACAATCTGTTGAAGGGCGATTTCCATGTAGAAATGTGTTTTTTCCACCTATCAAATCGTTCATGGTGATAATCGAAATCATAGACTTTTTTATGTCATATGGACAGCTCTGTTTCTTGATGGATTGTGACATGGGAACTATTCCATAACGACGTTCATAACTGGAAGAAAATGAGAAATGTCTTGTCCGGTCAAATGTTTATCACTAACATGTGTAGCATCTATATTTAGACACAGATTTCCACCACAATATAGAAGATATGAAAACAGTATAAGTATCTATATCGAAACGTCGCTATTGTATAATAACGAAGTTGATCATCCATAAAGGCTTGTCATTCCTAATGTAAGATCACTATAGCATTTATGTCCTGTCATTTTAATGATATAGAGTATTTCTTCATAGTCTTCATACATGCTTCCTTTCGGTTTGTTAGCATATTTGTGCGCTTACAAATCTGGTTGCGGAATATCTAAAACAGTTAACGTTGTTATCAGTATTTGTCATAAGATTTTCCATTGGGAAGAATAATCTGACCATTTGTGTACCCTGTTCGATGGCTTTATCGGGAGTCTCTAATGCGTATTGATATGCAGCGCTAACGTACTTCAGTTGGAATTGTTTTGTGTTCAATATTCCTGGCATCTCTGCTTGCAGTGTTACATGTTGCCTCACCTGGTAATTAGAAGAATGTTGTATACTGATGTTGATAAGATGCACACAACACATCCTGTAATGTGTTGCTATTGTGAACAGACACTCCTTCGCTTTGGTTACTTATTTCATGTTCATTGTCACTGTAGTCATCGCATGTAAAATATTATTGTGCGCTTGTTATCAATGGTAAACAGATGGCATACCTGTCAAAAATAAATGTCTTGAAGGTCGTTCAAAATTCATGTTGTCTTTGTAACCAGTAACATAGTGTCTGACTGTTTGGCAACCTATGGTTGCTACGGTGTAACAGTGTCATCTGTAGAAGCCATAGTCCATTAAAGAGCAGAAAAAAATCGTGCACAGCAACAACAGCTAATTCAACATGGACATATTAGGCGGTTATGCGTTACGTTTACAAAACCCGAAAGATAGCAGATGAACATGAGATCGCGAAACATTCGTCACCATTCGTCCTTTTCCGTAACCTCAAAAAGTGAGTGAGTGACTTTAGTTTTACGCCGCACTCAGCAATATTCCAGCTATATGGCGTCGGGCTGTAAATAATCAAATCTGGACCAGACAATCCAGTGATCAACAGCATGGGAACCGATGACATGTGTCAACCAAGCCAGTGAGCCTGACCTCTCGGTCCCGTTAGTCGCCTCTTACGACAAGTATGGGTTACAATATATTGTTTTAATGCTCTTAAAAAAATGTAGGGAACTTTGTTTTTAATTTTCGATTGAAAATATTGGGAGATATATCGGAGTTGATCAATGTTGATATGATAATAATGAGTGTTTTGAGAGTGCATCACCACTTCCACTTCCTTATATCGGGGAGGTGGGGTAGCCTAGTGGTTAAAGCGTTGGCTCGTCACGCCGAAGACCCGGGTTCGATTCCCCACATGGCTACAATGTGTGAAGCCCATTTCTGGTATCCCCCGCCGTGATATTGCTGAAATATTGTTAAAAGCGGCGTCAAACTCCACTCACTCACTCCACTTCCTTATGACCATAGTTTGTTTGAGTAATTGCTCTCGAAAGATGAATGGTTGTACTGAAGGCAGGAATGAGAGTCTGAAAAGATATATCGTTTATATACAATTAAAAAATGTAAGGGATATTCCATTTTGCGAGCATACCACTAGCCAATGCCAGTGCATATGAGAAAAGTAATATATATCCATACAGATGAAACATTTCCAAAGGAAAGGAATAAAATTGAATTTTGTTGCAATTTTAGATTTGTCAGTTATTAAATTATCACCATCTTTAAGATGGTAAACAGCAGACTTTGATCCTTTGCTTTTTATTCCCTGCACCATGTTCCATACCTTCGACATTCGCGAATTAATTCTGGAGACACAATTCCTCCAAGATTGCCGTTTGTTTTGTTTGAAGGTACAACGTGCTTTTGCATTTAGTATTTTATTTTATGACAGAACAGTTAGGTGATGGCGGAAATAATTGTCTGCCCTTTTCCTCTGTGTTTTGTTCTGGGGAGGTAGGGAAGGGGGCATCAATTTTGCACACATGTACTTTGGGGGTCAGCAATTTTGTGCATAAAAACATTACAAAATTATGCTTAAAGTTATGGGAGGGGGAGGCGGTGTCGTTGATTTTGTACATGACATGCAGGGGCTCACTTACTTTGAAAAGGCATAACCCCAGTGACATCTACAAGCCAACGTTGGTAACTAACCAACTAAATTTCTTTAGACCCCCGGGACTACATAAAACTTGAAACATGCATGAAAAAAAGTATTTCTTTCAGTTTGTACTATAAGATTTGAATCAAAAAGATTATTGCACATCTGTCGTCGTTCTGTAGCAGGGAGTATGTTGCCCCCCATTATGCTAAAAGAGAAACGCTGTCTCAGCTGAAGTGATAATGCAGATTACGATTTCAGCCGGTCATTCTGTCAAGTCAAACCCAAGTCTAACCTTCTTAAGTCTATGGACGTTTCTTTCGAAACATGTTTGGAAATAAAACTAAGCGAGAATTGACAAACAAAACATAACTTGGCTAGATGTATTTTATATTGGTTTGAAATCAAAATATTCCAGCATTTGTATTATTCAACACGAACGTTTTTGAAGGTTGTTGTACATTATTGCCGCTAACAAAGTGTAATGACCAGATGCCCCAACACAGGCCACACCTAGATGTGACTTCAGGCTTAACACGTTTCGTTTTTGTTGCTATTGTCAATCCTCACGAAATGGGAACCCGCTGACCACAATGCGAAGAGGTCACGCCTTCGCACTGACAAACATTAAAGGTCACATAAACCCTAGGGGGTAAAAATACATAAATCACTAACTCGCATCGTTATAAATGAAACCCCGTCATTAAAACTACTCATTTCGACCTTTAATTTACTTAAATCGACCTTTTTGACAACGGTGCACAATTCTCACCCGCGAACGAAATTTCAACCAATCAGAGCGGCGCGACTCTGTGACGTCATATGAGGAATAGCTCGGAGGGCCGGTGCAGAATTCATCTACATTTTAGGGGTTAAATGATCTTGTTTACAAGCTTGTATAAACCTGAAATCGTGACAATTGTTGTGGAAAATGAAAGCTATATGTTCTCACAATCTACTGTCATTTAATTTTGTCTCCTGCTTTGCCTAGTTTCCGAGTTACAACTTGTTTTCATAGACGATTCTGTCAAAATTGATTGGTGTCGTTAGGCCCTATTTGTATAATGACTGATCCAAATTGATCCCATTTCTGTGTTTTTTTACCTCGATATTTAATCTACCTCGATATTTAATCATGTCATGTAAAAATCTGTTTGTATTCTCAAAACAGTGTCGGCCCATAAGTTTTCACATGCAATACAGCAATTAATACTCCTTTGTTGTAACCCGTGTTAGGTGGTATAAACCAACACATGTTATTTTTGTCATCATTCACTTGATGGTCAGTTAATGAATTTATAACAGGTATAATTAGTGGTAACACACTTAAATTACCGACAAAGTTCCCATTTGGCATTTCTTGTGTCTGGAGTAAATATTCAACATTATAAACATCGATCAAAGGATTAACCGATAACACGCTGATTGATTAATTACTTTTATCTTACACAGCTGAATTGTCAAAAGGTAGTGTTTATGTATGTAGATTTACTAATCTATACTGAATACACTCTGTCGTGTCGGTGTCTGCGTAAAAACAACGTCCTTCTTTCAAAGGATTAACCGGCAATACATTGATTGATTGCTCATTATTGGCTAACCTAATTTACTGTTTTTAAAAAAGAAAGGCGGACATTATGCAATTAGTTGCCAGGTGTGCTATCTTGGGTGACCAATGAGACTATACACCAATACCTGAAAAGATTTATCACTTTTTCGTATATTAAACTGTTAAAAGACACATCATTTGGAACAGTTTTGTTGATATTGATGGATACATTCCTCGAACAAGGTAATGGCCTGATATTGTTCCTATAACTTTAATCTGTTTTAATTTTAATATTTGCATTTTGTTTTATTCATTTGTCGTAGCATTCAACAGAATCATTGTTTCGCCGTGAAGTGTAATGAGACAGACAAACATGCACTAGAGGTGTGTGCGAATTATGATTCACATTGGCAAACTATAAAATGTCTAGATATTACAGTTCTGTTATAAATTCACTATAGAAGTATAAGCAGATCGTCTGCTTTTTATTTAGTTTCAAAATGCATACAAGTATGATAATAAACTAATTAGGATTATAAGACCAAATATAAAGACGCACATTGACTAGTATCTACATACTGGTGAGTGGACATTAACCATGGGAATGTAGCAAAGAAATTTATCGCGCAGTATTGTGACTTCGACCCCCACCTCGCTTCCGTGGAAGAAATCGTTATGTTATAAGTTGTGTCATGCAAAATCCGTTTGGTTATGATTCCAATACATATTTAACTACGAGTAGAAAGTAGTCTTGATTTTCTAACTTGATGAAAACAAACTATAATCTCATTAATTCTAACAGATTTTTATTTTTAAAATGGCGCCCTGTCGGGGACATCCGCCAGTCTGAGGATAAATGGTATTTAGGTTTGTTTTCACCGAGTTACAAAATCAAAACTACTTTCTACTGGTAGTAAAATATGTATTTTATTGATGGCCAATAGGATTTTGTATGACAAAGCGTATAACATAACAATTTCTCTCGTGGCAGCGAGGTGGGTGTCAATATAATACTACTTACAATATTATTGTTACTTCGACCACAACCTCACTTCCAGAGGAGGCAGAAATCGTTATGTTACAAGTTGTGTCATAGAAAATCTTTATGGTCATCAATCATATGCATATTTTACTACAACTAGTAAGTAGTTTTGATTCTTCAACTTCCGTGAAGGATCTGAACACAAGTAAGATATCGTTTCAGGCTTCCACAACGCTCGCTTCGCACTCACAAACATAACCCATTTAGCACGAACTGCAGGGGTCCTGTGGAAATCTGTGCATGGGGACACCATCGCCCGACCCCTAGGAGCAATTGACGACAAAGCAACGATTCGGCATGTCGTCGTTGATGTCGAGAAATCATCAAAATGATGAGCGTGCTACACATTTCTATACAACTAACTGAAAATCGTTCCTCATATGACGTCACTGCAGTGCTCTGGCGACAGAGTTACGTAACCTGTCTGTGGTTTCGTTGGCGGGCGAGAGGAAAGCAGGTGACTTTTTGGCCACTTTTAATCGCTCGGTATTAATTAACCACAAGTTTTTAAAGAATGAATTTGGTGTTCCGCATAAGACTAACCACAAATCTTTCATATGTAATGGTTAAAAGAGTAACAAAAAACAAAGTTTAGTGGTTCTTTAAGCATTTTTCAGATACATTAATCATGCTATCTCAAAACATTATGAATATGGACATTTATGCATAGATATTAACACTGCTTTATTAACCTATATGATTGCCATTCATTAAGTATGTATTACTAATCTATATCTATTTGCATCTTAAAGAGTTATTATTTATATTTAATTAGTGTATTTGATTAGTGGTGGTAGTTGGTGGGAAACACATTATTTCTTATCTACTGATCTTCACGGATGGGTTGCCACGGAAAGTGATTAATCGTTCAGTGATACATGTACTGTAAGACTTAATTGCATGCACCGTTTCAATACACAATCCACATACTTACCTACACATTGTAGAGAGAGATAGTAATCACAACGAAGAACCACATAATGGTCTC